ATAACACAAAGATATACAGTCAAACCAAAAATTATTCAGATACCAGATATAATTTTTGATATTTTTTTAATAGTGGGTGCAGGACACTGTAGTTCATAAATGTAAATGAGGATAACAAAATAAAGTGAACTGTGACATATTATACCCAAAAATTCTTCATACAGTGAGTTCTGACACAGTTTAACTCTGAGTTCTTGTCATATTTTATTACCATTTTCTAAACTCTAGCAAATAAACTGATATAATTTGAAATGTTGAAGGTGTCTAAATAAATTTAGGTTTGACTGTATATATATATAAATTGTGTGTGTGTGTGTGTGTGTGTGTGTGTGTGTGTTATATTGTATTATATTATAATTCTGTTTATCATTTCAACATTTTTTTTTTTTTGTATTCCCACCAGTCCGCGTGCCAACAGGGATGCCTACTCCGGCATGGACACTCCAGGGTCCAAACGCAAGCTTTACAGTGCTGTGCCAGGAAGACACTATATGGTGGTCAAGTCTTACCAACCCCAGGGCGAGGGAGAAATCGCTTTGTATAAGAACGACAGGGTCAAAGGTACATGTATCTCTAAAAAAAATTTTAGTTTAACTTTACTCAATTAAACCATATGTTATTGATAGTAAATGTGGACATTTTTAAGAGTGTGTGCACCAAATGCAGGGAAAAGCTGGTTTGTAGCAGGCAGTGCAGTTTCTCCTGCCATATGGAGAGCAAGAATTCAGATTCTGCCCTTCGGCACCAGGCGATGCCTGGCCAGAGCTAGCAACACTTCACAAACAGAAAGAGATGAACTAGAGAGGTTTCAGTGGAATGAAGACTTCATTGGATAAAATCAGCATAGGCCTGATTTATTATATTGTCATGTGTAAATTTATACACATCCATAGTGAAGTGGTCAGAATGCCTGTTAATGCCGAAGTGATCTTAAAAGAGCTGTATGTGTAACGGGCATACGTGTCATATATAGGATTGCTCATGCAGTTTGTAAATAATGAGAAGAGTGTTTTATATTTATATTTTTGCTGACATTCTCATACGTAGTTCTCAGTATTGGAGAAGGAGGATTCTGGGAAGGCAGTGCCCGAGGGAATGTAGGCTGGTTCCCAGCAGAATGCGTGGAAGAGATCCCAAGCAAACCCAACGAGGACAGGCCCTGTGAGTGTCTACACACAAACACACACTTTGAACATGTTCTCATTCACTGTCATGCCAACTTAAAGGGATAGTACACCAAAAATTACACTTCTGTCATTAATTAATCACCCTCCTGTCGTTCCAAACCCGTGAGACCTTCGTTTATCATCAGAATGCAATTGATTTATTTATTTGATGAAATCTGAGAGCTTTCTGACCCAGCATAGACAGCAACGCAACTGACACGTTCAAGACCCAGAAAGGTAGTAAGGACATCATTAAAATAGTCCATGTGACATCATTGTTCACCCGTAAGTTTATAAAGCTACGAGAATACTTTTTGTGCACAAAAAACTAAAATAAGAACTTTATTCAACAATTTCTTCTCTTCACAAGATTATCACAGCGTATGTGGTGCTGCTGACGCAGGAGGGATAGTGAACTCAAAAATGACACTTTTATTATTATTTACCAGTGCTATTTTACTATTATTGTATTTTATGTTTTAGTTGTAGTCACTTAACTTATTTTAGGTAACTGCAAATGCAACATTCCTTATTTTTCGTGTTTTGACATTTTCAAAGTGTTTGAAATTTAAGTTTTCATTCTGTTTGACAGAATGTTCATGCTGCTCTATTTCATACAACGAAACTAGTCCATACCACTTCTATGCTACATTCCAAAGTTGAAGCTGTACAGTACTTTTGAAATGTGACAACCAATGTTGATATTGATGTCAAACTTTGCATGAAGTGTCTTCATACAGCATATTTTAATAGACTTGAATGGGATTTCAGAGCTGCAGTGAAGGTATTTTTTGAAATTCTTATGTTTTCCAATTGCTGTCATATGGCTTCAGAAGACTTGCAATATATCACCTGAGTCTTATAGACTACTTTTTGGTACTTCTTATAATGCTCTTTCTGATTTTGGAGCCTAACAGCCCCTGGTCACCATTTACTTTGTACATTGTATGAAAAGGAGCAGCATGAACATTCTGTTAAATATCTTCTTTTGTTTTCCACTGAACAAAAATACAAATCTAGAACAACATGGGGGTAAGTAAATGATGACAGAATATTCATTTTGGGTGAACTATCACCAGTAAAGTGTACACTTCAAATTACACAATTGTTCGACATATTACAAGGTGAGGGGAAGAAACACTTTTCCCGCTCCTCTTATTATGTCTTCTCTAACTCTATTCTTCTCCAGTGCTCTGATAACCCGCAGAATATGTGAGGAGCCTTGCGGCGATAACAGGCTGTTAATTCAGTTAGTGTTCATTTGCAACTAGGCCACAAAGCACACGCGTCCACCTCTCAGATCAAATAATTGCATTCATCCGTCAACCATCGGTGTGAATGAGCACCTGAGAATTTGATTTGCGCATTATATCCAAATTGGACAGAGCACAGGAATGCCATTAACAGCAATCATAGCTCTACTCTAGTCCAAATGTGTGTTAAATTTAGATTTTTTTTTAGTTGTAAGTACAATCATTGGCTGTTGTGTAGCTTTGGTGTGTGCACTCAATTTTCGCTGTGCAAACTGGCAGAAGGGGCCAGGGGCAACATTCTGTTGAGAGTTGTTATTTTGGGCCAAATGAATGCCTTCCACATCAGTGCAGCTACTGTGCGTTTTTCAGCCCTGTATGTGTGTGTGGTGTCATAGAGGCGTTTCGAATTTTTCTTCATTGAAACACATCCGAACCTTTATAACAGTAACCGTAAAAAGCTTTGCATTGCAACACACTTGACATAATGAAATGATCCAAATCCTGTTGTTAATCTACAATCATGCTTTAGTCTAAAATCTCCAACACAATTCTCTGCCGTGGTCCAGATTGTTGCTTATGACCATGTACAATAAGACAGCTATTGGCAGCTACACGAAACAAATGGAGAGCTGTTCATGACAGCATGTGGCGAGCAGAATGGAGGTGTGGTGAACGACAGCTGTCATTGGCCGAGAGGCTTTGGCCCATGTGACTCGGGGAGAGAGTCTGGCTGACTCAGCTCTCAGACTGTAAGATCTAAGTTCACCCGTCATGTGATGGAACATGACATTTGCCTTAAGGTTGTGCTGCAGAAGCACAGTAAGTGCTTCTGCATCTGTACGGCTAACCTAAATGCTGTTATTAAAGGTGAAGTGTGTAATTTCAGAACTGAATTGTAAAAAAAAAAGTTTTCAAACAGGTTTCCTGTGTGCTATTGGTTGGATAAATAAGTAGCCCTGCCCTAAACTCATTCTATTGATTGAGCCAGTGTTGCTATGCTAAGTTGGAATTCTCAAATAAACATAGCAGTGTTTTGAAAGCGCCAGAGTGTTTATACTTTTCGGGTTAATAATTGCATAGTTGTCTTTGTTAAATGAGAAAGTATTTTAAGTTAACATTATAAAAATGTTGCATCTTCTTACATAGTTTTTGAGAAAATAACAGTGTCTACTATATCTAGTTTGAAGTTATGTGTTTTTAGTATTTTTTTTCCAAGAAAAAAAATATTTAATGTGGTATTATCTATGAAGTAAAATTCCCTATGATAATTATTTTAATAATTGAACATTTTACATAAATAAAGATGTGTAAATTGCACTTTTAATATATATTTGAATAAATTAATAAATCAGGACGAAAAATGCATGTCACGCCATTGACCCAAATACATAATTGGTGGCGAAATTGGATCTTTTGCCTATACCATTTTATTCCTCATGTTATTGCCAATAATTGAGTTGTCGCAACACATTTGATCAATTTGTGCACTTTTTAGCAGTAATCTGAGGTGAAAATGCTTGCTATGTTTGGTATAAGTGTCACCTGAGGCATTTTGAATCTCATCCATGTTTGCTAGTGTTGCAAAAGAAGCAGGGCGGCAGTGTGAAAAGGTGAGAAATGCTATGTTGAGATGGGAGCCATTGGCAGCCTTGAAATCCATGGCTACTACAATGCACACTACAAGCGAAGCGCTTTTGAAGAGTTGCAAGGACAGCTGATTTCTTTCATTGATTTATGAAATTGTCATTTGGTTCCCATAGCGATGCTTTCATGGTTATTTTAATCACATTTTTTGAAGATTGTTGCCCAAATCTGTCTTATTTTGCGGTGAATCCAACAACTAGCCAAGATACATAACATACGCTGCTGGATAGCCTTAAAAGTTGACTATCTAGTGCAGTGTCCAAAATCGGCTACAGTTAAATCCAGCATCAGCTGGTTAGCAGCAGCACAAGTAATCTACTGAAGTCTCTTGAACCTTTCCGAGCAACACTCATGCACATTCCTGATTGATATATTTCCATGGAAACATGCTCTACACTGTACAAACCCTGTTGCTATGGAGTGGGCCTTGGTAAGATTTTTTTCCTCTTTTTGTGGCATCTTTTTTTTTTCCCTCTCTCATACACTCTCTCTCCCTCTCACGGTACTGAGAACAGAGCTTACATACCATCTTTTCCAATGCCACGGTTCTCTTTTCCATGTGTGTGATGCTGATGGTCAGCTCTCACCTGAGCGCTCGAGGAGACACAAGAGTTTTTGGAGATGGGAAGTTAGGCGTCAGGGCCTGAGGGATCGAGAAAAGTGGCAATCGCCCCTCAGGCAAGGAGAACTAAGTGTTTCTCGGATTGACTCGGGGGTGAACTAAAGGGGACCAATGGACGAGACTAGCAGATCTAGGAAGAAGGTTCATTTTGGAGGTATGTCGATTTGAGGATGTTGCAAACTGAGGAGTTTTGTGATGAATTATGGATTTGTGCCACCAAAAATTGCATGTTTTGCTCTGCGCTCTTTATTATATAGGAATGATTAGTTTGAGTCTATTGTCGATAAAATTTCAGTTGCAGTTTTTTTCTTTTAGTATTTCTTGTGTTTTGAGTCTTTTCACTTGGGTTTTGAGGTAATTGTGCATCTTGATGACTTTTGTGTCAGTTTCAGAAGCCTTGAACAGTTGTCGAAAACAAATTGTAGTAAAATATCCAAATCGTCTTGGGGTCATTTTTCGATCTAATTCAGTTCTCCATCATGTTGTAGCTTTGTCAAAGATGACAAATCAGATCATGTTTTTATTATATTGAGTGAGAAACTGTGACCTAGTCGTAGAGTTGTAAAACTTGTGTGACTGGCAGAATATTATAGTTATTACTTTTTTTTTCCCAGTTGTGCGCTCTGACCCTGCCTCGAAAGTTTTGCATCCTTCAAGTCGTGCTTGCTGCACGTTTACTATCTTTATGAATTTTATCAAGTGAGCCACACAGCTAGTTACCCCTGGTGGTTATAAATCAGGTGTTGTAGCAACTGTCATCGCTGCTCGCCTTCATGTCAAATAGACTTTTTTTCCTCACACTGTCCACAGAGGAACAAAGCTTGTGTCAAGTACGTGTGGCTCTGTGTGCACGTGCCAGAACGCTTTTTGTTGGAAAGACGACACAGCTGCTACAGAAAACAGACAGGGTGTTCAATTAAGATGTGAGAAAGAGAATGAAAAAGAGATGTGGTGGCCATTTTATTCATCCAATTAATTATAACATCCATATCTCTTAATATTAAATTCCTCTGTTCAGATTTATGCATGCGAAATCAGGTATTGCTCAAAACTGGATAATGCACAACCTGACAAAACACATCTATAAATGGTAATGTCAAGGCTCAGAGTGTGATGATTCACTTGCACACTCAAACGATTCAGTTTTGATTTATTCAGTTGATGAGATGCATCATAACAGGTCCAGTCTGACCTCAATATTATTTGATTCGTTTCCATACAAATGGCAAAAAATAAGCCTTAGAGTGCCAAATGCATACTTTTCAGAAATTCTCATGATTCACATTTTAAAGCCGATTTGAATGCTATTTTTTGAATTTGAACCTCTCTAGATGGCCATGTTTTGCTAAAACAGTTTGATTAACCAAAATAGTCATTAAACCGCCTTTTTATATATTTGAAACAACTGACAGATGGGGAGGACATCTTACATTAGTAGTCACAGGATAGAACGGATGTCTCTGTAGAATTGCGCTGAATCTAAACCTCCTTTTGTTTGAACATCAAAACGTTTCAGCTCAACGAAGAATTGAGCGTCTGTAACTTTAACAGCTAACCAGTGAGTAGGTTGGAAGGGGAAAGTGTTGAATCCCACGCAGCCTCCTGACTACTGATATCATCGTGTATCAACAGAACCGCAGAGGACAATACAAATGGTGCAGTTTTCAGAAGCTGCAGCCTGCAGAACAAACTCCTCGAGAATCTCATTAATGGATAAATATGTGTACACGGTTGCTCAGAATCTTTATTATCACCAGTTGTGTCTCCGTTAATGGGTGTCCTTCCTCCGTAGATATAATTTGCCTTCCTTATATCAGTACACTTTGGGGGATGTGCTTAACATTAAGGTGATTGGATTGAATTAAGATATTAATCCAGTGTTTTATCCATTTGTCCAAGTCCTCTGTGGACAGTTGGTTTGTTATTGTACAAACATCATGGCGTAGGAGCAGCCTAGAACGAACGCTCCCCTCGGAGAAGTTCGGAAGAGCGAAAGCGGAGCCATGTAAACGATTAATCTCTGCGACATAAAAAAAGTCTCTTCATTAGCTTTGTTGGCTCTTATCCTGGTTCCTTCCATAAAATGCAGTCAATATTTGGCCTTCCTGAACTCTCTCGGAGGACTAGTCTAGTTAGGCTCCATTATGGGCCAAATGGTCCCTGTCTTCCAAAGAGCTTTTTATTGGTTGCAGTTAAACATGGAAGGTGGTATAGTTGGTCTAGTGCTGATTTTGAATTCACTGTTATAAATTGTGGATTTACTTTAAGCTCATGGCGTGTGTTCAAGAAATTTTATTTTATTTTATTTATTTTTTTATATGTGTGTGTGTCATGCTGGTATTGATTGTCAGTGACAATATGCGTGTCAAGGTACTGTGTGGTGAAACTGTAAGCACCTTTTGTTATTTAATACTAAATTTTTTATCTAGAGCACAGTTGGCTAAATGATTAAATGTGTATAAAAAATGGCACCTGGGACTGTGTGACATATGGCACACAGTAAGACCGATTTGTGACTAGACAGCTTTTTTATGCAATTATGTAACCGAACCTTTACAACATTCTCACTTTATCACATCTGCTGTACCTCTCAAAAATTCTGGTGACTATTTTTATTATTTTTGCACATTTTATATTCGGTGTGAAAGTGATGATAATGATGTTGAAGCGTTCAAAGTTTGCTGGGGTTAGTGCTTGAATGCAGTCACATCAGAATTTAGGAAGTAACTTTTGTTTATGTGTGAAAATAATGAATAAAAAATAATTTTATGACACTTTCTGAGCACTACAGATTTTCAGCACTATGCAAGGTTGAAATATTACATAATTGGGGTGATCTAAAGTAAATGTCTGTGAATATTTTTTCACAGATGCCCGGGCAGACCGATCGGAGAGAAGGAAGCTCTTTCGACACTACACTGTGGGATCTTATGACAGTTTTGATGCATCAAGGTATGATCAAACATTTTTCTAATCCTTCTGACCATGTTTTTTTAAAGTGTGACGGGTTCAATACATGATGGTAGTTTGAAATGGGTTCTCTCTTGCGTACATATTTACAGTTCAAAAAAGGTTACAGAGTTTTTTTTTTTGTTTTTTTTAAATCAGATAGTTTTTCTGTAAACAACATTGCGGTTTCAGATTTTAGTATGTTTTGCCTCAACAAGGTCAGCTATGATGGTGAAAGGCAAGAAACGGACCAGAATAACAGCTCAAATGTCATCATCAGGTCTACACGGAATCTGCGCCTGCGGAATTCCACAGGAATGTCACTCACAAAGTAAAAAAGAAGTTTATTAAATCATTTGTAATTACTTCCCCTGTATAGCAAATTTTTCATATTTCATAGAATTTTCCAGATCTTTCACCAAAATCATCACAAAGAAAATGTGGGGAAAAGATGTGCAGACTCTGTCTGGGCCTGGAGATAATTTTAATACACTGAAATAAATGTGTTGTAGGATTTAACAATAGAGTAAATTTCACAAATAATCACACAGGAACAGCAAGCAACACAAGTAGAAAGACTGAAAATTCATTTTTGGTAACACTGAACTTAAAGCCTTTATGTATAATGCATTATAAAAGTAGTTTTAATGCATTAATTATGCCTTGTAATGCATTGTACAATCTCATGAATAATTGTAACCACAGTTAATATATTATAACACTTATCAATTCATTGTTTCACTTTGTATTTTAAATTCGGTTATAATTATTTACGACAAGATATAATGTATTACAACGCACATTATGAATAATGCATTATACCCTTTAATAACCCTTTATAATGCATTATACATAAAGCCTTTAAGTAAAGCGTTACCATATTTTCTTGTAAAACGTACTTCAATAATCTTTGTTTTATTTACATCTTTTTTTAAATTTTTATTACAGTGTAGGTTAATAGATTGATTGATTTACCTAAGTTGTAAAAATGGCCATGTTGTTTTTAAAAATCTTAAAAATTTATATTTTACATGCATTTGATTTACCCCCAAAGACAAAATTCCCTATAGGTTAATAAAGTATAAGCAAAGAAGAAAATTTAAACGATTGATTAATCAATTACTTAAGACCAGTGATGCATCAGATTCCTATTATTAATATCTATTATTGTGAGTGTATCAAAGTACAGCACGAATGATCCATTTACCTGCGCATACTTTTGCACAAACCATCATTTCCCAAAACTTTGCCGCCCCAATATGATTTAACACAAAGCGCCGCACAAGCACATTGTTATTCACAGGGGAAAAAAGGTTTGAAGTGTGTGAAAACTCTTTAAATGGCCGGTTATGTAAGCAACGCTCGAGCTTGGGGTCGTCACTGCGTGATGCAGACACTTTGATGGCATTTAAAAAAAACAATCAGCTCTTTGACATTATGATGTCATAATATGTGGCTGTCAATCTGCATATTTGAAATAAATTGGCAGTGTGATTTTAGCCACATATCTCTGGTTTTCTATGCAGTCTGGGAATCTTATTTTAAATACGATTTTTATTTTAAACAATAACGTTATTTTTAGCTACTGAACTTTAATAGTCCTGTAATTTAAAGGGATAGTTCTCCCAAAAATAAAAATTCTGCCATTAATTACTCACCCTCATGTCGTTACAAACCCGTAAGACTTTGTTCATCTTCAGAACACAAATTAAGATATTCTTGATGAAATTCGAGAGCTTTCTGACCCTGCATAGAAAGTTACGATTGAACCACTGATGTCACATGGACTATTTTAATGATGTCCTTGCTATGTTTCTGAGCCTTAAACATGTCAGTTGCATTGCTGTTTATGCAGGGTCAGAAAGCTCTCGGATTTCATCAAAAATATCTTAATTTGTGTCCCGAAGAAAAACGAAGGTATTATGGGTTTGTAATAATGAAAGAATTTTTATTTTTGGGTGAACTGTCCCTTTAAGGGTAATATTAGTTCTTAAAAATGTTATTTTTGTTGTACTGTGAACTTTACACATTTGTCACTGGGTGTTAAAAAGCCAAAAAAGAGAAAGATCCTCTCGCATCCGGCTATACTCCTACCCAGCTGACACACCCCTCGCTCCGAGCTGGTTGTCATGGAGACAGAGAATCCAAGGCAATGCAGTGCAGGCTACTTCCTGCTGCAGGGAGCTTGAGTGACAGCCATACAAAAGGACACGGGTGCTTTTAGGTGAACTTGTCACAGATACATGCAAGATACCTGCTAGTTATGTCAGTCTTTTGCAGACATGCTCTATATATTATTATTAATAAATTTACAGTGGATTCCACTGTAAACTTTTTGGTAGGATAAATACGAATGGATTTTGACTGGATTTAAGATGCATTATTTAGTTTTTATTAAATAGCTAATCCACAACGGTGTATAAATATCGCTCTGTGATGGACAGCAGTAACATTGTTTGAAATGAGATCACACACAGGTATAAATGCATTATGAGCAAATAATATTTCCCCCGTTCTAACAGGCCGGGATATTAATGACCTTGTTGCTCTGTGACATCGCCACAGTGTCCCCTTTAAAGCAGATTATGTTGCCATGACAACCATGCATCATTCCTCAGGAGTCAGCACTCTACCTTTTGAGCTCAGAGCTCTTTCAATATTTCAATAAGACTTTATCTTATAGTTAAAACTGTGAGGTCTTGCGATCACAGGTTAAGCCTATTTTGTCAATATGCCAGATAAAGTTTTTATGGGATTATAAACACTTCAAGAAGATCTTTTCGGTGTATTTTAGGCCGTTAAATTAATCAATCTAGAGCCGCGGTTCATGACCTTCAGTGATTATTTTAGGGTCTGATTCATTCTAAGGACACAAAGTGCAGTAAAATGAATTGGCACAGGCCACAATCCCATTTCCTGATATGAATGAAGTTAACATACCATGTGGAAATGAGACTCCAGCTCTTTGTGAGAGCTGCAGTTTGAGCAATTCGCTACCCATTCAGTACCCCGGCTTGATTTCCAGGACTGGATTTAATACTCCATCTAAAAGATGGTAAGCCCTCTTGTCCTTCAGGGAAAGAGAGAGAACATTTGCTTTCCAGTGCTATCATATTCAAACAGCATATCTCTGGATATCTCCGGTGGCTTCTACAGTTGAACACCTTCAGTAATTGATCTGCTTGCTTGCAGTGTGTGTTTTGGGAAAGGATATTGATGGTGCTAAGCAGGAAGTAACACTCAGTGTCACAAAGATGTTTTGGTGTCATTCAGGACAACCACCACCATAGTGTAACTGCTAGAAATAGTCTCTCTTCTAACAGAATTTTGAATGAATAACTCATATTGCATTCGAAAGACTATTTGAGTGAATTTCTTTGACCCAAAAATTAGTTTTGACTTAAAGAAATAGTTCACCTAAAAGCATGAATGACAATGAATGAATTTTAAAAATATATTTACCTATTTAATATATAGGTGGGGCCATTTTTCCCCCCTAAAAAGTCTATTTAAAGTCATTAAGAAGTCTGTGTAAACACTTTTTGAAATAATTGCAATTGATCATTTCTCATTATTTGTTTATGTATATCTGTTCTGTTAAATTTGGCATAATTTGGTAACAGATTGCAGAGGGCTTTAATGCGATTAGATTCTAATTTCTAGATAATTATTATTCAAAAAATACTAAAATTATCGTTAATGTGAGCGTCAAGCAACCGAAATCGTTAAGAGAAATCATAATCGTTAAATACCTTACGATTCCAATCTGTAATGCACACATAAAATTATTTTTAGTCGCGCGCGCACACATGCATACATTGTTCTCTCTCTTTCGCGCGCTCGCTCTTTCTCTGTGGCACTGTAAACCGTCTCTCTCTCTCTCACTCTCTCTCTGTCATACCCATTCCTCCAAGATAACCGCTCATGTTTTCCTCTGGTGATTTTCATCCTTCATCTGGCGGTTATGTCTCTCACTTACGACACGCTATCTCGCCGGCGACCGGGCCCTGCCTTTCTTAACCGGTGTTACAGCTCCTTCTTCGACAGATAAAGCTTGCGGTGAGCTTTTTTCAACGGTTACAACTCTCGTCACATCGCGCTCTTCGTCGCAAAAATGATTAATTCCGCTCAGCCGACGCCTGTTAGGATGAAGCATCACTCCGCGCGCTCGGCGGTGGCGATGATGAGGATGATAGGCTGTAATAACGGTCGTTATGCGCGGAATTTTCTCCACAGCGACTGCGTTATCAACGAAAAGACGGTCGTGCTGCAGAAGAAGGATAACGAGGGATTCGGGTTCGTGTTGAGAGGGGCGAAAGGTAGGGAGAAAGACGGACCCCTCGTCGTCTCCGCCGCCTCATCATAACTGTTCCTCACTTCATGCTTTACACCCTCGAGAATCAAACCGTGTTGGTCCTTCATTTCACGCTGTTTCCTATCCTCTTTTTTGTACCCCCGCACTTAACGTCATGTCTGTTGATTTCAAAGCGCGTCATCGCGCGCGCACTTGATTTGATGTGTCTGCGTGGCTTGAGCTGCATGAATTGCATCCATGTGAAGAACTTTTGAATTAATGCATATCTTGGTGTCAGCGTGTCCATCACTTGACTGCGATGCATTTAAGTGGGCTTGTCAAATCTGTGAAGTGTAAACACAGACCCCCACCCACTCCCTGCTCCATGTGCTTGGCTTGTGTTTGACTGCATTAGGGCTCTGCTGGCACTTTGTCTCAAGGGCTTCCTGAGTCTGACAGTCCAGCTGTTTCTTTCTGTGGCTAAAGCATTTAATTCACTCACAAATCCTTCATAAAAATGTATTTAACTTCAACAAACCTTTAACTATGCAATGTATTAACTACTTAAGACAGACCCTAAAAGTCTCCTTCCCATCACCAACTGCAGCGCTTTTAGTGCACTACAGATCCCTTGAAGTTGCGAGTGGTGCACCGTGGCTGCTTTCTGCATCAGCTCTTGCGATGCCCCTCATTCTGTCAGGCTCCAGACCAGCGCTTCTCCCCACACTGTCAGCAGTGAGATCCATGCATGCATTTTCTCTGGTTATATAAACGTCCCAACTCCTGCATTCATTTTTGATTTGGTTGGATGGATGCATTGCAGCTTGCATCATGTATCATCAGACCAGATGCTCTTGTTTAGCCACACTCATTATCCATTGTGCTACCAGGCACTCGTTTTCATAGGAATTGTACTTTTCATACCATCGATGTAAAAGCATGTTATTTTCAGCATGTTTTTGAGTAATGGCAAGCTTAAACATAGACTAGATAGATAGGATTATAAATAATATCTAATTTAAATAGTACATATACATATATATAATATATACTATTGAGGAGTTCACTCCGACCCCGGCGTTCCCTGCTTTGCAGTATCTGGAGTCTGTGGATGAGGGAGGGGTGGCATGGAAAGCTGGCTTGAGGACTGGAGACTTCCTCATCGAGGTAAGAACACGATTGGGTTTCCATAAGCTTACGGTTTGTTTTGGAAAACCTCATAAGCCATTGCTTGCTGAAGGGATGGAAAGGTCCCTGATCAGCTGGAAAGAGTGATGTCCGACCCATGCAGGGGACTTCATCTTGAGCTTGCTGCTGAATCATTCACACGTTAGTGCAAACAGGAGAATGTTTATGCACAGTGTGAGCTTGTGAATATGAGGAAAGGTCATAGTTACATCTTTATTATGGATCTTCTGCAGTGGATGGGTGCCGCAGAATGAGAGTCCAAACAGCTGTTAAAAATCTAGAAAAGTAGTCCACACAACTCTAGCCCATCTGTTAACAGCTTACGAAGTGAAAAGCTGTGTGTTTGTAAGAAACAAATTCATCAAGACCTTTTTAACTTTACATTGTTGTTTCCGGCTAAAATACGAGTCCTCTATCCTTAATACTGCTTTCTTTAGAGAAAAAGTTGTCTAGTCTGAAACGGGAGAGAAACATGCACATATTTACAAGCTAAAACAGTCCAGAACAGCTTTAAACAAATATATTGGTGAATTTTGATGTGAAAGGAAAACAGGGGATGAACATTTTCTCTGGATGAAGCATTAATATGAATTACGGAGTCATATTTTTGAACAGAAGTGACAATTTATAGTTAAAACACTGTAATGGTGAATCTATTTCTTACAAACATGCAGCTTTTTACTTAAGACATTAATTGATGGACTGGAGTGGTGTGGATTACTTGTGTATTATTGTGATATTTTTATCAGTTGTTTGAACTCTCATTCTGACGACACCCATTCACTGCAGAGGATCCATTGGTGAGCAAGTAATGTAATGTTAAATTTCTCCAAATCCTTCAATGAAGAAACTGTCTGTTTTTTGGAGATTTGGAGAAATTGTCTCATCTACATGCTGAATGGTCTGATGGTGAGTAAATTTACAGCAAATTTAAATTTTTCTTATTTGTGAAAACCATGATGCATTTTTTTCATAGAGCAACATTATTTGTAAGATGTCTTTACTGTCACTTTTAATCACTAGTCAAATGACTAGTAAACCCTCCTGCTCATCCCTATTATAAATATATAATGATGATGGAAGTTTATCTGCAAAACACCTGTCTTGGCCCCTCAGTTCTGGCTGAACTGACACTTCAGCGATGACTGACCACGAGACACGAAAAGCATTGGGAACGTTGTCCTCCTTTCTGCATCAGCAAAATAAGTTCATTTGCATGCAAAATTCAAGAGAACACTCACTTTGTGTTAAAGCACAGAGAGCAGATCCAAGATCTCAGCACCGCATGGAAGGGCAGAGAAGGGAAGAAAATGATTGGCTCTCATGAGCGGCGAAGATTTCATGAATTATTTGCTCCTTACGGTAATCCAAGAGTCTAAATGTAACTAAGCCAGAATGTTTCTATGATAGAGCAGTGGGAGCTGCATTTTGATTATGTAATTTTGCAGGAAGTGTAACGTACGTTCCTACAATGCTAATGACAGTTTTCATATCTAATAGGTTGCTGATGTACTGCAGTGCGACATGCTAAAACTATTTTCAATTCAATTTTGCTAATTATTTTCTTTAAAGTGTATTGCAGTATTAATTGAGATACTATGTGAAATATTTATACTTAAGATAAATTAATTTATCACAGTGCCAGATTATTTAAAACTAACTAGTGAAGGAGAAAGTGTGATTTTAGAAAACGGCAAAATATAAGGAAATAGTAGTTACTAGTTACAGCACCTAAAATATTAATATAAATGTATAGAAATCTTATGTAAGTTTTAATCTAGATTCTTGATTTAAAAATTTGATAAGCTTCGCTCAATGTCGTAATTTATAAAACACAAGTGTATGCAAATGCAATATTGCACTCTAACCACTCTTAGAGGTGACTTAGATTAGTCTGGCATAATGTATTTGTATATGTAAAAAGCGTGTATATAAATTGTATATATAAATTCATTCATCGTCTCTTCTCCCCAAATACCACGGAAACAATAAACACGTTTTATGATATTGACCGTCAGTCCCTCAGGAGCCAAGCAAGCTTCACTACCCACATCAGGTTGAGCCGCTGCTGTTTTGCTCTCTCACACTTTGGTGTATGGATGTGTCAGGTCCCAGGGACAATCTAGCCTTCTGGACAAAGCAAGGCGAAGCCCTCACAGAGAACATGACCTGGTTTTGCTTTACGTTAATGACTAAAGCTTGCAGTAAATTTGGTAGGGATGTAAATATCTATTTTTTAAAAAAGCATATTTGTTTTACCTTCCGTGAACTGCACCAGAGGTTGAATTGCAGATTCTCACTCCTACATTTCCTGGAGCTTTTGAGAGTCAATGAATTAATCTTATTGCCTATAAGAAACTCTAAGAAATGGTGTCGCTTATGAAGGGTGTTATGATCAACCAGGAAGATACAAAATAGAATGATGGATTTACTGAAAATACATCTACACCCACTTGCCCTTGGTGTGTGGGCACGAGTATCTCTCTTTCTCTTTACTCTCATCTGATCGCATTTGTGCATCTTACTTACCTCTCTTTTCTGTATACAAGAGGTAATAGTAGGGCTGGGTGATATGAAAAATTTTACTGTCTTGATCAAATTTTTTCATATCAGTCGATATCGATAATTATCATGATAAATTTCAAATTTTTATTTCTTTCATGTTTAAGGGCAGATTTTTGCTCCTAAGTGAAAGTTGTAGAAACCAGACTGTTAATTGTAGTTTTAAACTACTCTTTATGGTCAGAACGTGACAAACACTTCACATTTTTTCTTTATTCTTTACACTTTCCCATTCACTTACACTTTTTTCTGCATGTTCTAATGAGTGATATTGTTTCAATCTTCAGCACAGTTTGCAGTGCAGGCTGCAATATTAATAATATAAATTTTTATGTTTCCTAGAAATGCACATTTGACAGCAGCTTGAGTTGACAGTAGTAGTAGCTTGAGTCTAAATACAATTGTCTAAATACATTTAGTATAAATGCACAAATGCTATATTCTATTACTCCTTTAATACATTTAATACATGTCTATATCAATAATATAATAAAATTCGTTATGAATATCCCACATTTCTGCCACAATAGCATGGTGCAGTTAGTAAATCCATGGTAAATGATGTGATTTGTATATTGAAATATCTTCTGACTCTATCGTTGTGCACATTGTTTCTCCTGTTTGTCAGCGCTGTTTCATCCAGCTTTAAACTAGTTTAAATCACAGAGTAATTTGTGTTCTTTGCTGAATTCAAGCGCTTTACACTGGATCTCACAGCGCTGTTTAGTGTCGTGTGACCGAGACTCATCAGCAAGTAAACGTATCTGCTCTAGTGAGCTCGCGCTGCACTGCCGTTTGAACTTTCAGCCAAGCGGATAAACGGTCAGTGTGGCGCGGTTCAAATGAGTAGCGCTGTTTCGTTCCACTTTTGGCACATAAACATTATATCGAACATTTATCAAACTGTTGATACCGTTTTATCCAGGAAAATTATATCGCGATAATTATCATTATCGTTTTATCGCTCAGCAATAGGTAATAGTGTATCTCAGGGCATGAGTTATCAATTCCATAAAATAATCAGTTTTTACTGACCTATAATGCATTTGCAGGGCTCACCAACTTCTGTAAAAAAAGAAAAAAAGAAAAAAGAATTTTTTTTTTTTTTAAAGTTGTGCATGCTGTTAGAAAATATAATCGTAAAGCCATGTTTGAGTGAACATTTTTAATAATTATATCAGGCTATTTCATGAATTTAGGAGGTGCATTGCATAACATCTAAACTGACACAAATAGCATATGCTGCTTTAAAACTATTTTAGTGGTTTAAACAAGCAGCAGCACTGAAGTATTTTTGGTTCTTGTAAATATCTCGCACTGTCACAAACGTCATGAAAATATGTAATTGTGGTTATGTAGCTCAAAAAATTGCTAACGTTAAATGTGATGGCTGGTTGATGTGTTTGTTGACGGTTGGACATCTCTCTCGTCTGTAATGCTTTCTCTCCAGAATGTTCTGTGTGCACAGAGAGAACCAGCAGGGAGGAAGTCTGTGGACTGTAGGAGATGCCTGCGAGCGTCCACATGGCCTTATAACCGTACAACCTGTCACCAAAACCTGCTCCTCACGCACTGCAAACCAAGTATAGCGCAGTACATAGCTTTTGCACTGTCACACTAAATGTAAAAGTTACCGGCCGGAACGTTGCGCGATTACCATTTTTAAGCATCACGAAATAGATCTTCCTATTTTTAATATTTCCAGAATAACGGAATCCAGTGATGCTACTGACCTTCCTCTTGCGTGTATGTGATGGTCCAGGTCTCATGTTGTAACACAGAGCAACGGTCGCCTAGCAACGGCACCAGCATTGTGTCTGAGCGCAGTGATGAAAGCGAGGTAGCGGTTTGAGGTTGTTTTTTTTTCTTCATTGGAGTGCAGCACTGGGCCGCGTGTAAACATTTCTTTTCCTGTTTGTATTGATATAAAAATACATCTTCATAATGGATTCCAATACCTGAGTGCTAGGATTTCAGGGGCGAATGACTCTATTACATGGTAGAAATGAGCTCTCATGGTTGTTTAGGCATGCTTGTAACTGCAATATGCTATATGATGGTTTCCTCCTGAGAGGCTGGCTTTCTCCATTTCGGCTCTCTAAGCCTGGTTTAGGGGTTTCTACACTGTGAGATGATCTTTTGGCTTGTTGGTGATCACAGGACTGATTTCTGCAGTGACAATGCAGTTGTTCTTTAAAGGGGTCATATGATGCGATTTCAATTTTTCCTTTCTCTTTGGAGTGTTACAAGCTCTTGGCAATGTGGCAGTTTCAGTTATGCGATGGGATGGTAATACCATGGTGCTTTTACACTATTGTTCTTTTTCTTTTAAAGAAATCAATACTGTTATTCAGCAAGGATGCATTAAGTTAATCAGTAGTGACAGCAAGATAATTACAATATTATATTTCGAATAA